CTGGCTTTCAGCCACCCTGCTTTGCCGCCCCTTGTCTCCTGATTGAGCAGGAAGCCGTGTCTGCACACACACATCCCCTGCTGTGCCCACAGCGGCTACTTCTGAAATGGCTCTAATATCCGCCACGGCAATCTGAATCAAAGGAGAAACGCTTTACTTAATGCAGTTATTTTCTGTCTTTTCTTCTCCCAGCTCCTTGGCAAAGTTGTTTTCCACAGAACTTAGTGGAAGTGGATGCATCCTAGAGCTAAAAGAAAATAGGTCAAGGTTAGCTGCTCACAAAGATGCAGCTTTCACAGGGACGTGAACACATTTACATTTGTATAAGAGTCAAGTTGTGTAGCTGTGTCTGCATGAGACTAAATCTCAAGAGTTTTACCAGATTGCATCATAAGTAGCAAAGTGTGGGTGGAATTTTTCTGCCCATTGATGCTAAACAGAATACAAAAACCTTGTGCAGACTCAGTGAATTTTCTAGAATAGGGCCTGATTTCACTACAGCATCTGTCACCTCACTGACTGTTGAGTTGATTCAGCTGATGTGCCATCTCCTTGCTTCCCCAGCTCCAGGAGAGTACCTCAAAGCTGTGCACTCATCCAAAGCTAATCTTCCCAAATAAAAAGAGAGCTGAGCCTGGGTCAAGCATGTGTAAGTGACAGCTTTCTGCTCCTGGACCATAGGCTATGCAGTATGTGCTTGCTTTCATATATGAAAAGTTTTGTATTCCAATGAAAATGCTGGGCTTGGTGTATGAGAAAATGAGAGACACGGCAAAATGAAGCATGTAAGAAATAAGAGTAATGAAGGCAAGGAAAAAGCTCAGTGTTTAGAAACACACATGCAAACAGACTATTGTTTTTAAGTACTGTGTTTCATTTGTAAATAACGGAACTTTTCAATCTATCAAAATAAGAAACCCTTTATTTTCTGATTAAAAACTACATGGTTATCCTTTCAGATCCAGTCCCCACCAGACATACTTCATTTTACAATTTGCCTTTCGCATGAGTATTACCTCCCAGGAGATTTACATTTGATTTTTAGCAACTTAGAGTAAAGCAGATGAATGATGGATGGGTAAAGATGGATCATAAACTCTCCTCCCTCAACTTCTAATGAAATGAATAGAAAAAGCAGAAAAATAAACATAAAATAAAATCGTAACAGGAACCAAACAAAGTAAGGGCTACAAGTTTACATAATAAACTTTGACAAGAGGCAACCAAAGAAATAAATAGAAGATTCATTGAGGTATATAGCTGAGTGCTACTGCTGTCCACCCCCCCACACTATGTTATTAGCATAGTGTTATGCTAATAACAGCAAAAGGAGAGTCATCTAAAGTACTGACAAGGCCCACCAATACCACGCCAGTTTGAAAAGTAGGTGAAGGGGAAGAAGAAAACTTCTGAAATATTTTTAAAGCCCCTAAATACTCACTACAAGATCTTAGCAGAGGCAAGAAAAGTGCAAACCTGCAAGTGTCCCCACAGGGACAGAACATACTTGAAATCAGTTTCAGTGAAATTTCACATTTAATGAAATTAAAAAAAAAAAAAAAAGATATGAGAACCCAGATTCGCCAACAAAGGAGGCTGAGCTCCTCGTTCCCTCATCTGTCCTCTTCAGGACTTTGAGCTGACAGGATACAAACGAGTGCAATGTCCAACACACAAATGTAGCTCCCAAGAGAAGGCTGACAGATCTCAGCACAGGTGGAAAGCAGTTCAGGGAAAATATAGTCTCACTATATCAGGAAAGACAGAGGCTATGAGCAAAGCCTCCCACAGTAAGTATGAGCAAGTAAGATACAAAGAAATGATAGCAACTAGCTCTGCAAACAAACAAACCAGAATCCAAGAATCCATAGCATGCAAAGAACAATTAAATACGAGACGAATCTGGTAGAAAACAGATCAAGACCATAAGAAAATTCCCATAAGTCGTTTGGCTACAAAAACATAATAATAAAAACATTTTAAAAAAAAAATCAAAACTAGTCTCAAAGATCAAACATGTCAGACATCAGAAAGGAATCAAATGTTAACTTGCTTCTGGATTAAATCTTGTACAAGGAAAAGACAAGCTATAAAGAACATCGAGACTTAAAAACTGGATGTGCCCTGTGGATTAGAGACTCACATCAATGTTAAATTTCCTAATTTTGATCACTGTACTATGATGGGATAAGAGAATGTCCTTGCTCATGGGAAATGCAGGTTGAATTATTATTATTTTTTTTTTGGTAAAGCGTCATGAGGTTTATAACTTCCTCTTAAATGGTTCAGGAAGAAAAGAGCTGCGTGTGTGTGTGTGTGTGTGTGTGTGTGTGTGTGTGTGTGTGTACACATGTGCAATGAGGTCAACAGGCAAACAGGCGGTGGACTGGGTAAAGCACATACTGAAGTTCCTTGTACTATTTTTGCATTCTTGCAAGTTTCCTGTAAGTTTGAAATTATACCAAAGTAAAAAATTACTAAAGAAACTCAAAGCAATACTTTAGAGAGCTAATTTATTAAGTTGATCAATAAAGAACGGAAGATAGCCCGCTGAAAACTGGAACTCTGACATAGAAGCCACTCTTGAGAGAATCACAGTAAATGCAAAAGAAAGTGAAAAATGAGTTAAATAGTTGAAGAAAATGTAAGTGAATACATTGTACAAAGAGGATCCAACATAAACAAAATAGGTTTCTTAGCAGAAGAAAACCAAATGGAACAGAAAAGCAATTTAAATATACAATAGCAGAAAATTCCTCTGAAAATAAAGAGGAACTTATTTTGCAGATGGAAAGAGAACCCTCTATTTTAAGAAAGGCTGGGTTATTTAAACTGAAACAACCCTGGTTCAGTTACTGAATTTCAAAGATATGAAACTTTTTTCCCTCCCAAATATCCAGTGAGGAAAGAAGAGGTAGCAGGCATTCTGCAGCATGAAAGAACTCGAGAAACTGAGCTACCATGAGCCAGTTTAACTTGGGAAAAAAAACTATTTGACAATCACATTTAACAAAATTTAAAGGGAAAAACTGCTAAGAAACAAACTAGCACCATATTCAGGGAGAGAGGACAATGGAGAAATATCTACCAAACGCAAGGGGGAGAACTGTGATCCCCTAAATTCATCTAGCTAACTTGCTAACCCATCACAGGGGTAAACGCAGACATTCTTAAGAATGCCCCAATAAACCTTCCCGAGAAGAATCAAAATAAAAAGCTTAGAATTGGGAAGTTGTAGTAAAAATGCTGGTACTGATCACTTAACCCATATGAATTTTCACAAAGGAAAAAAAAAAGGAAACCTTAAAAAATGAAAAATTATAACATCACTGTAACAGGGATTTATTCAATACTACCTATAACTACATAGATAAAAAATATGAAATAAGCCCAGCCGGCGTGGCTCAGAGGTTGAGCGTTGACCTGTGATCCAGGAAGTCAGGGTTCGATTCCCGGTCAGGGCACATGCCCGGGTTCCGGGCTCAGTGCCAATGGGGGGTGTGCAGGAGGCAGCCGATCAATGACTCTCATCATTGATGTTTCTATCTCTCTCTCTCTCCCCCTCTGCCTTCCTCTCTCTGAAATCAATAAAGACATATTTTAAAATATATATACATGTGAAATAAATGAGTTCTCATCTTTTATTATAGGAATTTAATTATTACTGTCTAAAATAAATCATAAAGTTAAAAATGGCCCAAATTTCTTACTGTTTCTTTTTAGCTTTTTTCTTAATTTTTAAAGGCATATTTGTAAAAATTCCAAGTAGGACCCTATAAAGTTGCCCATATTCCATTGTCGTGTTATTTTGTCTACAAAAAGGCAATTTCATGTAGTTCAACTTAATATTTTGTGATCAAAAATACTTATTTGAAATGAACAATTTCCTTTAGTTTTATTTAAATTATTTCTATTAAATTGGGTAAATAAATATATAACATTAAAAAATATTATGCAGAACATGTCTATTTTTTATAAAATTATTCTTTCCTACAATCTATTCATCCTTCTAACTATAAATTCTTATATGTATACTTATGACATAAGCAGATAAGTTTAAAATTATGCTCATCAAATATTAATAATGGTTGTTTTCAGAATAGTAAGATTTTGTGGGGATTTTGGTTTCCCCCTGTATTTTCTGTATTGCTTGCATTTTGCAAAATCAAGATGTATTCTCTTTTAGGAAAAAAGCAAAGTCATTATTCAAAGGTCAATATCACTAAAACAACAAGCAACCAAGGGAGGAGCCATGGGTGGAATACATAGGACCAGAGGAGTGATCTGCCTCTTAGATTTGCAGCTGGCTTCTGTCAAACTGCGCCAACAACTTTCTGGTGAATATTAAGATTTCTTCCCCCAATGTTTTGTCACTAAACCAGACCTTTGTAAATTAAAAAACATGGTTATGATTTACTAGACTCCATCCACCGGAGTTCAAGAAGTGGAGTGCACAGATATAATTTCTCCTCAACTGGTCTGCCAACCAGCAGCATCAGTCTCAACTGGGTTCTTAGATGTGCAGAATCTCAGGCCCCACCCCAGGCATATTGAGAAAGAATCTGCATTTTAACAAGATCCCCAGAGGCTTTCTGTATAAGGTGAAGCTCAAGGAATACTGCTTTAAAAGATCTAACAGCTTAATTCTCCAACAAGGGTGTTGGGCAGAAGCTTTCATAAAGCTACAGATTTAGTCACTCAGTGGGTTTGCAGAAAGAAGAAAAACTTTTTTTTCTGTTACATGAATGTTCTTAGGCAATACAATGTAACTGTGTATTGTGTGACCCACGCCAGACTCTCTATTGTGTGGCTGGCATCCACAGGTAACATTTTCAGGGTGATCTCGAGGGATATCCAAGCAAACATACAGAACTCGCTGGTTAAAAGAGGTAAAGGGAAAGGCCTTTTTGTTTGCCAGCTTGCTTTCTAGGAGCATGAGATGAAGAATCAGGCAGAGGGCAGAGTTAACATTGTCTACAGTGAAAATATAATAGCAATACCTGCAAGATTTCTCAGCACATTTAATTCCTCTTCCAGACTGTCGAAGGTTTGTTGATCAGCGGTGCAGCCCTCTAAGAAGGGCTCACTGTGGTCAATAATATCAATGTGTTCAATTTCTGAAATTTCAGAAGCAGCTCTAGACAACTGAGCAGGGGCGCTTCTTGGTGAAGGAGGAGAGGAAAGAAGACAGCTGGAGCTTCTTTTAACAGAGATGGAAAGTGGCAAATTAGCTGTTGAAGGTCTATGTGATGTCTTGCCTAAAATGAAAAATAATTTTTTTAAATCAACTGCTTTTTAAATTCTGAATGCTTAAAGACACAAAATACCAGCCCCCCCCCAAAAAAACTTAGAGCATTTAAGATCATGCAACAGAGTTTATGAAAAAATGAATATTAGATTATTATTCATACTTTATTACAATTTGCTAATCCAAAATTACTTTTCCCATGTTATAAAAAACACTTCTGAGTCATTTTACCCTAATTTTTTTTATATTCAGAAAAAGAGAAAATAATCGTAGTAATAACTACAGCAAAGCATCTGCAAACTAAGTCTATTCCAGATAAATTCAACACACTACAGCTTTATAGGGCACTTCAGTGGGAAAGCCCCAGAAGCACAGATCTAAATCGGGTTATCACTGTGTTCTACCAGGGCAGTCACAGCCTTATCTTGCTATATTTCGAAGGTTGATTTAGTTGGTTTCTTCAACATATGTGTTTCTTTCATAGTAGGAAAAAAATAATCACTTCAAATTTTATACTAATACAACATAATGAATTTATAATGTGGCATTGTTCCAAGGTTCTTTAGTAAAGGGAATGTTCAAGGTACAAATTTAGAAATACATAGCACCAGTAAAGTTTTAAATGTACCCATTCATTGTTCTGATTTAGACAAATATATTTATACTGAGTATAAACGACTTATAAGATAAACTTGTATTCCCTTAACAAAAATTGGTATTGTGTAAAATATTAAATTCTTTAGAGAAGTGCTAGTCATTATCATAAAAATTATGATTTGACTGAACATATGCCAATATAGCATTATGCTCAATCTAAGGACTCAAAGGAAGAGAGGCTACAGGCAGTTGGCATGTATTAAACATTTAATGACTATTTATTTTTTTAACTTTAAAGATCTACTTTGATTGTAGCTAGTACTCGAAGAAGAATCTTAATGCAGTATGTAATTATTTAAGCAATTAAAACTGACTAAGGTAAGTCCCAAAGGGCACCAATTTTAATGAACATTTCTGAAATCAATTTTGAAAACAATTTTTGTTGGAATAAAATTATGAATAAATTAAAATAAGATCCTGACCTTTTGTATCTGTTTGTGTTCAGAGACAATCCTGGGAGAAGGAAAAAAAAACTGACAAAAAAATGTGCCTATGTTTTAAGAAAAATAAATATAAATAACCCTAAGAATTATTTTAATGACAAGAATTTGGAAATGATTTCCCCTTTTACCTGTCATATGTAAAGAATCAATATTTTATTCATAGCCATCTAGAAAAGCAAATTTGCCATTCCTACATAATGAAGCAGTAATAGGAACAGCAATAGAAGCACAGGTGAGTGAATGTAACAGCCATTCACTTATATAAATTGGAAGTTCTAGATCTATGGAGAAAACCACACCCATGTGTCTATATTATGCTAGGTCTCAGTGAAGTAAAATTTAAAGGGATTTAGGACTCATTAAAATAAAACAAACAAAAGATGTTATTAGCAAGCACTGGACTTCTGCCAACACAGAAAAACATGAGGTGAGAAAATTTTGACATAATGTAGATGTCCTTCAGAAAATTCAGGAGAGTACAAATACTTGCTGAACTCTTATAACAACATCTGGTTGCCACAGTATTTGAGGTTAATTGATCCCAATTGAGAAAAAAATAAAAGTACACCAGGGATGAGTCAGACTTGTGCTTAGGACACAGCAAAGAGACAGACCATCTTTCTTAATGAAAATATATTCAAAGTATAACTTAGAGTAACCAACATGCAGAAAGAGACAGAAGATGCTCCAATCTGGTCCTTGATTTTAGTCATTTATTTTATTCATGTAGGTGAGTATGTCATTCTCTCTAAAGTTTATTGTATATGCTTATTAATGTAATCGGTAGAGTTAAGGTTTGAGAAACAGTTAAGGCTGGCATTAATGAAAAATGCCACTATTGCAGGGATCATTCCATACTTCTTCTAAGTCCAGTTTGTAGATTATAAATATATGAAATTACTTTAGGAGTAATTTGTGCCGTCACTGGCAATGTAATCTTAGGAAATTATAGATGAACACTGATCACAGTTGGTCTCTAAATATGACACAAGAAACTGTCCTTGGTATTAGCTAAAGAATATATGCTTTATGATTACTAACGAGACCATGCCAAATATTGGAAAGATAAAGTAGAAGGGTGCCTTTGGGTTATATTGACAGACACAGAATGCTGATAAGAATATGAAAATTTTAATCACTCACTGGATAGCACTTGATACAACAATAGTTATTGTAGCTATTCTAATTATAAATTAGAATTGATGAAGCATAATCAGGGCAACATGCTTTTCACACAGTGTTTCAATAATAAATTCCATTCTGATCAAAGGGCCCAATATTTTCTTCTTGAACAAAGGTTGCAAAACATTATTGTCTATTGATATTCTTGCTCAGCTGTGTAAAATACTGAGAATTTATATATAAAAAATAGAAATGTACTTTCTAAGAGTTCTTGAAACACATAGGAAAATTTTATTCAGCAGCATGGTTTAGTGGAAAAAATGTTGAACTGAGAAGTGAGAACCTTACTGTCTAGTCTCCCTGAATTAGAAATCAGCTTGTGACCTGAGACATAAAAATTCATATCTCATGAGTCCAATTAAGGAGTTGGACAGAATAATGTCTTTAAGTTCCCTCCAACACTTATAAATTCATACCCAATCCGATTCAATTACAAAATCATTTGTCAAATCCTGTAACTGCCAGGCACTGTGTCAGGATCTGGGTATTCAAAAGCAAATAAGACGCTGCCACGGCCCTCAAGTTGCACTGCAGACTAGTACACAGTCCTGCTATCCAGCTTTCCTAATTCAGAAGCACTTCCTAAGTGTTTACAATGTTCCAGGCCCTGTGCCATCACTGAAGATGCACCAATGAACAGGACAGGACAGGTCCTTGCTTTCTTTCTAATTAGGAGTGGGGTAACCAGAAAATAAACAATGAAAATAATTTCATTTAGTGATGGGTTCTATGAGAAAGTTAAAAGAAGATAAATGTGATTAAGCGACTCAAGAGACCAGCAGTAAGTAGACGGGGTGGACTGAGAAGGCCCCACTCTAAGGAAGCAGCATCTGGGCTGAGGCTGAATAAATGGAAAGAATCACTCACAGGGAAAAGGGTGTGAAGATGGAGATGAAGTCTTCAGAGCATCCTGGATCAGAGGGAAGAGCAAATTTGAAAGCTAAAATGTAAGGTAAAAGGGTGGCCTGTCTAAGAACAGAAAGCCAGCCGGTGGGGCTGCACGTGGGAGAAGCTGCAGTTGGAAAAGACGGGTAGGGCCAACACGGGTACCGTTGTGTGATGCACAGTAAGAAATATAATTTTTCTCTATCTTCTGTAAGGAGCTATGGGATGCTTTTAAGCAAAAGATTGACATGACACAATCTATGGCTTAAGTTTATGGGAAATAGGATTCACTCCCTATAAATCATAAACAATTTTATGACAACACATATCAATAATTCATTCACTGACCGTAAGTAGTAGAATTTGATGGAAATTAATCATAGTTTTGAGGAAAGGCAAAAGTGAATTTGGGGGAGACAAGAGTTGATGAACAACTGGCTTGGGTTCATCGTGAACAGTAAAAATAGAAGTGGTTGTATTGGAGGTCAATTTTAGAGCTAAAAACAGCAGAATCTAGGGATGAGTAGGATGTGATGAGTAATAGTCAAGAGGATTCCTGGTGCTCAGACTTGGCAATGTTTGGATGGTGGTGCCATTTACAGAGACAGAAATGTGGGTGAGGAGGAGTAGGAGGAGGCTTTGGCAGGAGATGGTTAGAGCCAATGGACTTGCTGCTAAACACACACGTCTTTCATAACTATCATGTTTTACGTTCACAAATTTAAAAAAATCTTACAGAAATAGGAATTCCTTTATATACTGTCATCAGTGCAGAATGTAAGATTTCCATAACTTACAGCATAGCCAGGAAAATTTTATTTCAGGCCACTGAGATAAAACCATTTCTGTCTCCATAAAGCCATTTCTCTCTGCCCCAAACTGGTAAATCTTATGAATTCTTCAAGGTCCGGTTGAGATGCCATTTAGTCTCAAAGAGCTTGCAATGTAAGCTCAAATTTGTGAATGTAAAACATGGTAGTTATAAAAGACATGTGTGTTTAGCAGTAAGTCCGTTAACTCTACCCTTCAGTGGCAAAGCAATTATTTTATCATTTCTATTCCTAAAAGACTGCACAGGTACCTACCTCTATTATAACTATTATCAATTACATGTCAATCTCCAAAAGTGTGTCACTCACAGTTCTTTTATAAAACTTATGGATAGTGTAATGGATGCTTACATACCTACATAGCAGTTTTCTCAACATATGATTTTTGAACTACTATATTAGCAAAATATGGAGTTGTTGATAAAATACATGCAAATTCCTGGAGCTTATTACAGCTTTAATGAATCAGAATCCCTAGGAGTGAGGTCAAGAGAACCAGCTTCATTACAACAGGTTTCCCCGCTGATTCTGCTCCCACTGACATCCTGAGAACCTCCCCAGTGAACTCAGCTCTCAGGCTACGGGAAGGAGGCCTTATTTCCTATCACCAGTGTCTGGCAGTATCTTGCCTACAGTCGGTGCTCTCACAAATGGTATTTAGAGTAAATTATTGATTTCAACTGACCATTCCAAATGGATACTTAAAGACATTTGGCTACTTATGTATAAAGACTTGTCTTAACAAATTTCTAACAGCATGCATGCGAATTTGTTTCCATCAATATACAGTGCCTTAAAACAGTTCCTTTGACTGACTCAGAAGGAAGCGACCAGAATTTTTGGAGCTGATCTAGACTCTGATATGAGTATGGGGTACCTAATAATAGAGCCAAAAATCATTTATCATAAATGGATAGTTTTCTACTAAAAAAATCTCATATCTGACAGTTTCATAACATAAAGGCATATGGAAAATAATCTAGCCAAGGAGCTTTAATCATAAGATTGAGGGCAAGAGAGACATGTAAATCTTACATATCTGTAAAAATCATATGTAATTAAATTTCTGGCTTGAAGATGGCTTTCAGACAAAGGCAAAAAGTCCCTTTTCAAATGTTCCTCCTAAGCCTATCAGGAATATTCCTGATGTATCCTTTCCCCTCAGCCCAGCACAGTGCCAACACACTCAACACATGTGTTGAATTGCCTTAATTCTTCAGTCATCTACTGCAAACTCATATGAAATTCAGCATAAAGCGAACCTACTTTAACAGGTATTATTGAATAACAATAATACCACTGATGGTAATAATGTCAAAATTCTCTGCCTACACTCACTATAAAAATATTGCAACAATCATTCAACATGTCAAAAGAGTTACCCTATAGAAAATCTTTCAGTTATTTTGGTTAGAGAATGGAGTAAACTAAACCAAGATCCTAGGGTTAGCACACTCAGCATTAGGTTTTGAATGGAGGTGCCTCACCACACCTATCAGCAGTCATCTTAGCCTAAGCCATTCATTTCACAAATGGCTATATCTGATCATCATATAAACCAAGTGGAGGAGTATGAAAAACCTAGTATATATATAGTTTTCCTCAGAGTGTAATGAATCCGGGTAGGTAAGGATTGTTCAAAATATACACCGTATCCTGAGCTACATTTTTAAAGCATTATGCTTCAATACATTGCTACAGAAAATAATTAAGACTTCAACTCAGGGTTTTTGACAGGAATAATGACTACTCCAGGGTGTTTTTTGGTTTGGGAAGAAAAGTATAGGACAGTTAAAATGACTAAGTTTAAATTATAAAACTGCAAAAATTAATTCTCAGGTGGCTAGCAAACTGCTAAAGACAAACTAATAAACAAAGAGAGTCACCAATATGTCACTGCGGTCTTACAGTCCACCTCACCCATCTTTTGCTCTGTTCTACTTGCTGAGGCGCTCTGGGCACTCTGCACAACACCCAAGGCAACTGCGCTGTCAGCACGTGCACCTAGGCTCTGATCTGGGATCCAGTCTCTGTCTCCTTGAATAGAAAAATGGCACAATTATATAAACTGTAAAAGGAGAAAAATTCATGTGGCTGCTTTATTTATTGTTATTTGTTATTTTTATTGAATTTATTGGGGTGACAGTGGTTAATAAAATTATATTGTTTACTGGATAATATTCCGCTAACTAAGGAACATTTGTAATAGTTTGGTATATGTTACAGAAGACAAAATCTCATAATTACACATTAAAAACCATTAGATTCACATAGCTTAATAAAAAAATAAACTCTAAATTGCAAAGATATTCTACACGTTTGGACAGAAACAAATATTTTAAGAAGTATTTAACAATATAATGTATTATAGTTTGTACGTGAGTAAACGCATTTGAATACATAGGTATCCTAAGAATGCATGTGAAACCAAAATCTAGTTTCGAAAGAAAATGACAAATACATCTCATAAATCTCACAGATCCTGAGATTTGGGGATTTTCTTCTAAGTTGGCATTTAAGAATCATCATACAGTGCTTACCAGTTAATAAACTGATTCAAAGAATTTCTATTTCACAGTTTATTAAGGGCCACATTTCTAAATTCTAAAAATAATCTCTCCCCGGTCTCATTATAGTCATGTTCTCTCACTCTGATAGCAGCCTTCAATATAAATACGTGGGAACTCACACAGCACTAATTTCAGCCAGAGAAGAATACGGTGATTTTATTAGTTAAACAGAATCACCTAATATTTCCTAAGATGAGGAGGGACTGTTTTAAAAAAAGTGCATCAGAAAATTGTTAGGTTGGTCCACAGGCCGTCTGATTTCATGTCTGAATTTACCTGCAATTGAAATCCTAGTACTGGAGTGGTTGCTTTCTAAGCTAGGAGAAGGAAGTGAGTCGAGCCTTTCATTTTTATCAGAGACAAAGAATCCTTCAAGTCCTTGATATTTTTCAGTTATAGGCTTACTTCTGAGGGCTACTTCTTGTAACAACTAGGAAATAAAATATTCAACAAAATTAGGTTGATTTTATCTCATCAACACAAAACAGCACATCCATTCATTGAGTACCTACTATGTTCTTGGCATGGATTCTGCCTTCCTCAAGTTTAATTTCTCGTAGCGGAGACATAAATAATGACATTTATATATAGTAAGTTTTGAGAAATGTATAAACCACAATTACAGAAGTTATGTGAAAGTTGCCATCAACTCAAGGAGTACAGAAGTTCACGAAACAAAGTTTTCTTTGGCCCTCTCTTTCCTTTATTTTCTTTCAATGTCTTTGCATACACATCATTTGCAAAACAGAATCTCTCATCTGTTGTGCTTTTGAACTAGTGTCTTTTTCTATAAAATAATTTCAAAGATGAAATTAAATATCGAAGGGAATTAATCTGATCTGACCATGGTCATGGACAAAGTCCAAGTTACCAAAATACTCATCATGAAGCAAATAGAAAACTGAGTCGGGAGCAAGCTGAGTAATTTGAGAAGTTCATGTAGCTAGAAACTAGCAGACCTAGGTTTTGAATATAGGTCTCTCTCATTTGATGCCTAGACTTATTCCATCACCCTATGAATTCTTTTTTTTTATATGCTTTCACCCTAGGGAAGAATACAAATGAGATTAAAAAGTACATGAGCCTAGTAGGAAACAGATCAGAGATTTGAAGTGAGAGCTCCAGATGGGCTTAAAGTACATGAGTGGCTGTCAGTGTTTAAAAGTTCCCTAATGGATCAATGAATGCCCCAATGTGTTCTGTTCAAGGTGATAACCAACACAAAATACAGTATTACAATTCTATTCAAATTTATAAATCACATAAATGCTAAAATGTTACAAAACCAAGTTAGCGACCAATAAATTATCTCATTCAAAGACAAGTCCAGGTCCACTCTACTCATATCTTCACTGGCTCCCCCAGACACTGAAACCAATTTACAGAACCCCTTCAGCCCTAGTGGAGCTCATATTTGGATTAGGCAATTACAAATCTGAAAGCGTTTTTAAAAGCCTTGGTTGACCGTTAAGAACAATGAGAATGGGTTGGTTTGTTCTGAAACTCACAAAGTTAACTATTGGTTGTTTCAGAACCAAAACCAAGAGCCCCTGACTATCCCGTGTTCTCTCTGGCACCCGGCCCTATCTCACTGCTGCTGCTCTGCAACTTAGTACTTAATTCCATAGGTGGCTTCGCCTGTATGAAGATCTCAATTTCTGAAAACTGAAGGGCAAAATGAACTGTCTTACACTCAATTTAGAAGTCAACTAATGCCATTGCTAAAAATTGCCCCTACTGCTCATTCTTGAATTTTCCACTGGAGCACAACAAATCTCTAAGTAGTTTCTTTTCAGGGAATGGCTACTACTAGGGCAGGGGGAGCATAAAAACAGTTCATGTAGTAATTAGAGATGAAAAGAAAGTAGATTATTTATAAAGCGCTGTTTTCTACGATGTAATCATTTACCACTTTTTTTTAACATGAGTAGTGTAAGAGATCAAAATATGATTAGTAGCTATTAACATTTCAGTTTTAATTATGAAATACTTTAAGTATATAGGTATGTATAACACATTTCTCAACTTGATCATATAATTTAATACTAGTAGTTTAAAATAATTCCTTTAGATTTTTAATTTTTTCCAGATTTATTGAGATATAATGGACATAAAACTGAATTACATTCTATTTTATTTTTTTATTATTGACATTATTACAGATGTCCCCATCCCCCCCCTTTGCCCACCT